TTGGAACCAAAGATCTCAAATTTGGACTCATCAGACCAAAGCACAGATTTCCACTGGTCTAATGTCCATTCCTTGTGTTTCTTGGCCCAAACAAATCTCTTCTGCTTGTTGCCTCTCCTTAGCAGTGGTTTCCTAGCAGCTATTTGACCATGAAGGCCTGATTGGCGCAGTCTCCTCTTAACAGTTGTTCTAGAGATGGGTCTGCTGCTAGAACTCTGTGTGGCATTCATCTGGTCTCTGATCTGAGCTGCTGTTAACTTGCCATTTCTGAGGCTGGTGACTCGGATGAACTTATCCTCAGAAGCAGAGGTGACTCTTGGTCTTCCTTTCCTGGGTCGGTCCTCATGTGTGCCAGTTTCGTTGTAGCGCTTGATGGTTTTTGCGAAAATGGTTAAACACTTAAAAAAAGACACACAAAACAACTCTTACAGTTTACATCCATGTCTTTGAAAACATGGATGCTTCACAGACATTAGGTGTTTCTCAATGTCAAGGAAGGAACCTAAAAACAGCCAAATTTGAAGGACACTACGTCGTCGACCCCCGCCGAAGGATGTTCCAATGTCCAGGATCCTTCCGAGTTTCACAAAGGACCCATGTGTGGATCCTCCACGAGTATAAAATCCCCACAATGCTTTGCACAGTACACAATTTGCAGGAAGTGAGGGCGGGGCCTCTTCAATGAAACCTGCGCCGTCGGAGCTCGGCAGGATTTAGATTAATATGTCATTTATTTGGATTAATGTCTCCATGAGTTTTTATCATTCAAGCGTGAAAAAAATATTGACAGAAACCTCATAATTTACACTTTCCAATGTGCCCACTGCCAAATAATGAGATTTTTTAAATAACGTGATTTAGATAAAAAACATAAAAGTTTTAAATGAATCATTAAGTGGCTAAGTGTAGAACTGTCCAACAACATTACAGTGTGCCAAAATTATCACAGTAACTGAAACCCTCTCAGTCTGCTGAGGGTTGATGATGATCACATGGGGACACTTGTTAGCCTGTTCCACTGTGTGTTCACTGAATGCTTGGGAGGACTCTTGCCTTGTCTCTGCAGGATCCTTGACTTTGAGAAACACCCATTGTCCCCCCAACAGCACACAAGATCTATACAATCAGCACAGTTTCAAGATTAGAGTCATCAATTACGTATCTGACCAACTATTTTCCCGTCTGTTTCTGAGATATGATGTTGAATAACGGCCAGGCAAGTGTTTGTTGGGATATAAAATGTCATCACAAGGATGCTTCCTTGGTAGGATGGGTCCTTCCAAGTCTGGTCCTACAGACGCTAGGCAAGACTCCTTTCTAGCATTTGATGAACATACATGGGAACAGACTAAGGAGTGCCCAGGTGTGAGTAATTTAAAATGCCCCGTCTTCAATTCTGGCATATTGTGCGCAACGAATTGGGGTACTTCATGCCTGCTGAGGATACACACATGCATCCTTGAAATGAAACTTTAGGGACACTATGGACACTTTATAAACACCACTATAAGCATTGCTGTCCCCCTTGTTGTTGTTTATTTGCAAATACAATATTCACTCTGCATTAAATATGCTCACTTTAATCCATTGCTCACTTTTTATCCACTGCTCATTATTATTATTATTATTATTATTATTATTATTATTATTATTATTATTATTATTATTATTGCTGTTTCTTGTATTCTTTGTACTTTTTTTTGCATGCCTAGTTTTTAAATATTGAAATCTTTAATCTGACTCTTTCCCTTTGACTGCTGTAACACTGGAATTTCTCCATTGTGAGATCAATAAAGGTGTATCTTATCTTATCTTAAAACCTGCAGATTGCTGGCTCTTCATGGGACATGGTTAGCCACTACAGGTGTACTTACATAGTCTTTCCATGACTATAGCAGTCCTCTAAAGTAAGCAGCTGTTCACCTACCCAGGCACTTGTAGAGGCCCTGGCTTATCCAGGCCAGGATCGCCAGGGTAATGAGGTCACCAAAACTGGCGGCAATGGGTGTGGCTACATTGTCTGGGTTGATGCCGGTCTTTTTTGAACCCACAATTACACCAACCATGATGATACCTGAAAGTGACACAGAAAGGGTGGACCACTTGACTAATGTCATCACATTACTCATGACTTTTACATATTATATTTAACCAGTCTGTCAAAAGAGGAAAGTGTTTTTTTAATCCTAACCTTTTTTTAATGTGAGATTAGTTACAAAGATCATTTGTTTGAGAAAAGCACAGAAGTGACCCAGCTTGGCCACAATGAGTATCAACAGCTTATTTTGAACTGTAGTACCCAGCTGTCACTGTATGTGTGCGTGTGCATGTGTGTTTACCCTGCAGCAGGGAGGCTATGAAGGCTGTGGCCACGCTGCTGGAGCACAGCAGCACAGCGTGACTCATCTGGAACTTCCCCTCTGGGATCCAACCGAGAACCACGGCTGCTACAGCAGCCAGGAAACCCACCACAGTGGCCTGAACCTGGAGGAGACACAGAGTGGGATTTACTATTGTGCTCCTTACACAATACACAATTTCCCCTCGGGGATCAATAAAGTATTTCGGATTCTGATTCTGATTTCTGAAGCAGAGAAAACAATCAGTACTATGTGTGTGTGAAAACAGGCAAGCAGAGGGTTACTTAAAGGGGCGGCTGTGGCTCAGAGGTAGAACGGGTCGTCCACCAATCGGGAGATCAGCGGTTCGATCCCGGCTCCCCCAGTCTGCATGTTGAAGCATTGAGCAAGATACTGAACCCCAAATTGCTCCCGATGATGCTTCCATCGGTGTGAGTGTGTTAAAAACTGAGTAGCAGGTGGCCTCAGCCTCAGCCACCAGTGTATGAATGTGTGTGTGAATGGGTGAATGTGACTCGTAATGTAAAAAGCGCTTTGAGTGGTTGGATGACTAGAAAGGCGCTATACAAATGCAGGTCCATTTACCATTTAAAGCATTTAAAGCAGGTAATATTCCACATAGACTTTATTGTGAAATACCACACTTAACATCCCATTCAGGTAGAGTTTTCCAATCCATTACAAAACACGATCTGCTGACGTGTGTGATATTGTGTAATATAATCATACAAGCTCGTGAAAACACTATGACGCTGCATGTGTTGTGGTGTGTTTATCAGTGTATGGTAGATCATTAGCAGAGAATGTACTTCACCTTAGATTACAGACAGAGATCAATAAAACAGTCTAAGCCAACACTCACCTGGATCCAACCGATGACCACTAGTGGTAGTGATGATGTCTAACAAGAATATTACAAACCATATACAGTAATATCCACAGCGTAACATAAATATGATTTTGTGCCTCGCAATGTTGCAGAGGTGTGTCAGCCAGGAAAGCCCTACAACATCCAGAGCCTTGAGATATCCAGGGCGAATCTCGTCCACCCCCGGGGCCCCGCCGCCACGCAGTTCCTTCACTACCTCGGCGACTTCTGCCCCCGAAATTGGACGACCCGCCCCAAAGACCCCCGGCTCTGTTTTCTCACTGGAATAAATGATGGTGGGATTGAGGAGCTCCTCAAAGTATTCCTTCAACCGCCCGACAATGTCCCCAGTTGACGTCAGCAGCTCCCCGCCCCCACTGTAAACAGTGTGAGCAAGTTGCCGCCTTCCCCCCCTCTTTGGAGCCGATCAATAGTCTTTCTCCATGGCCTCACCGAACTCCTCCCACGCCCGAGTTTTTGCCTCCGCTGCGCTCCGCTTGGCCCGCCGGTACCCGTCAGCTGCTTCTGGAGACCCAAAGACCAATCATGCCCTGTAAGCCTCCTTCTTCAGCCTGACGGCTCCCCTCACCTTTGATGTCCACCAGCGGGTTCGGGGGTTACCGCCGCGACTGGCCCCCGCGGCCTTGCAGCCACAGCTCGCCTCGACAATGGCAGAGCGGAACAAGGCCCATTCGGACTCAATGTCCCCCTCCGCCCTCGGGATGCGGTCGAAGCTCTCCCGGAGGTGGGAGCTGAAGATCATCTTGACAGGTTCTTCCGCCAGGCGTTCCCAGCAGACCCTCACTGCTCGTTTGGGCCTGCCAGGTCTGCGCGGCGTCCTCCCCTGCCACCTGATCCAACTCACCACCAGGTGGTGATCAGTTGACAGCTCTGCTCCTCTCTTCACCC